GCAGGCTAGTTGATGGGAGGTATATTTGAACTGTGAGGGATCCGGTTCACAGGTGAGTCTTGGTGAGTTTCATGCCAATGCCTCTAGGCTTCTGTGCGACCTCCTGCCAGGAGCTGCATCTCTAACTCACGTCACAGTGGGGGATAGCGTGGCTCTCCAGGACCTGAGTGACAGGTTACACTGCTGCTCAACCTGATCTGAGGCTGGGTTCTGAGTGCACTGAGAAGAAGGTGTTTGGCAGACCGTAGTGCCTGGAATGCCGTGACTTTGGCCTTTGTCTTTTACAATGACTCATTGCAATGTGCACACCCACCTGTAACTGGGGCCCAGTGCCAGGATGTAGTGGAGGTGCAGTCAGAGGAAGAGAGGAACGTTGGCTAAGAGAGTGAGGACTAAGGTTCCTCTTCCCGTTTGTCCTTGTCTCACTCCCTCACTCTGCACACAGGAGGTAAGATGTAGGTTTTGGTATTAAACCAAATAGGGGTTGGGAGCCAGTTTGCCCATTAACTAGCTGAGGAACCCTGTGGAGTTAATTGATCTCTTTGAACCTCAGTGCTTCCAGTTAGAGAATGGGGATCAGGTGGGTCATTGTGAAGGTTGAAGCTGAACTGCTTGTTAAAACGTGTAGGACAGTTTGTCTTCTTTGCATGTGTTGTCTCCTGTTCTGTGAGGGCAAAGACCCTGGCTCAGAACCCCAGGTCAGGTGCTGCTGCTGAAGAACATATAACTTATCACTTTATTGACCACTGAATATGTGCTTGACAATGGGCTGAAGTTCCCCATATGTTCTCTCAGTTACCTGGGATATTATTACCTTCATTTTGTAAGGGAAGACACACCAAAAAAAGGTCAGATACTTTGTTCAAATATGCCTTAGCTAATAAGAGAACAAGCAGAATTCCAACCATGTACCGACAGCATAAATGCAGTTCTATCTCACCACACTACTTGACTGCTGTTGAGTTGTTGGTTGAGAAGTGAGATGCTTTATATGTAATGGTCATGTTCCCCTTCCTGCTTCAGAATAGGAGTGAGCAATAGAAATGTTACCCAGAGGTCAGCAGATGCAGCAGGGAATAAAATTTAGGATGAAGTGAGGTTGACACACTTCAGAATAATACAGTTTACCAGAAACGATTGGCTGTAGTTTATAAATCCAGAGACAGAGACCCCGGCAGCTCCAAGGGCCTTGCTAAAGTCATAGAACTTGGAATAGAAGTCTACCTAGGAAGCCAGCTAGTCGAATCCTGCAAATTTGGCAGGTGAGGGAACATCTCAGGGAGGGCAGTGACTTGCCTAAGGCTGCTTAACCGAAGAACAAGAACCTGAACTCAGGCCTCCTTACAGTTGGCCATGCACTGTTCAGGATGAGGACCAGGCTTAAGGCTATGAAGAGCAAAGAGCTCAGGAAAGATAGACAGACTGGGCATCTTACAGAGTCTTGCCCCAGAGGCCAAATGGGATTGGGGATCTAGAAGAAAACACGACAGTTTGACTCACCAACTTGGGTCTGGTCCCAGCCTGAAGCTGGCAGGCGGACTGCATTCAGCAAGCTTCTGTTAGATCACAGCTGATCCCTATGTCAACGTTATGCTCAGAGAGTGCAAGTGAATTGCTCACGGTCACCCAGCAAACCAGGGACTGAGCTAGGGCTCTGATGGATAGATAGAGCACATCAGGAATCAATCACCTGCTAATTTTACTTTAGAAGGAATATCAAGAGCTCTTTGTCCCCTCCAGCCTTCATCCTTACTCTCTCCTTGCCCAGGCATCAGCCAGTCCCTTCTCACTCACCCTCAAACTCTCTTTACCTAATGTGTTCTTTTTAAAAAAATAAAATTATTTTATCATA